GTCGCACTATTCTCCAAAGACAAGTACACCAGATGCTATGCTGCTACAGATGTGTATCTGAGTCCAGAGGGCACCTGCTTAGACTTCCAAGCTTTCATGTCATGGAATGAAGAGATGGACTAGGGATACCCAGACATTAAGGAAGCAGTTTATTAAGCTTATTATTGTGTATTAATAAGCAGTTTGTTCTTCACTCCTGAAAAAGGAAGTGGCCTGGACCAGCACTCAGACTCAGAAATCCCTGGCCACAGCACCCTAATCCTTTATGTGTCATTTAATAGCACCCGGTTTTCCCACACTCAGAATTCAAAGGACTTTTTGAACACATTCAGTTTTGTTCCATATAGTCCATTCAGGAGAGTTCAGGCTTTTGCTGTCAACTGACTTCTTTGACACATTCATCTTGATGCCTCTCTAGATCCTGACCCAACCCCACCCTGAAAGCACAGCCCAGAAATCTTTCAGGGGTACTTGGATAATGAAAATCAGTCTTCTATAATTTTGTCTATGTTAATGAGGGACACAGACTCCTGAGAGCAGCTGTTGAACTCTCTCCATTCCTTATCCATTGAGTGGAGAGGAGGGTTTGGACTACCTGTAGTAGAAGTTGCATCGTAAAGAACTAGTTTTAAACTATCATGTCCTGGAAGACACAGATTTTACAAGATTAATGGTACGGGGCCTAAGTAACAGTAACAAAGTTATGTCATTGTTGTCCCCTGAGAGGACAAGATCCAGGAAAGCCACCTCCATGCTTATTCCAGAAGAGCCATCCTTGGTTAGGTTATTCCTGGGAGCATGGTCCCTTTGACTATTGATAAAATACAGTAATGATTGAGAGTGTGGAAAAATCCAAACCTACAGTTTTTAAAAGGAATCTAATGTTAGAATAGATTAAAAAGAAGCTAGTGTGGGATTGCAGCAGAGTACCAATGGTATCAAGAGATAAATACATAAATAAAGCTAAAACACAAAGTTTACAGATACTTGCTTATAAAAAGCCCATGTCTTTATATTTAAGAAGCTAAGATATCCTTTTTGTTTGAAGAGAAATTTGAAGTCTTTCAGCCTTTTAGCTGTATGTGTAAGTGGCCTCGTCTTTAAGGTGTTCCTGAGGCTGTAGAGACACAAAAAGACAAAGAATTCAGAGAGTAACTATTGAGTTCTTTTAGTCTGGGTAGGGTGGGCCTTTCTACCCTGAGGAGGTGTCAGGAAACATCAGAAGACACTTATATTCTTGACGAGAGTCA